CGGGAAGGGCCCGGTCCGGAGCGGTTGGGGGTTGTGTCTGCGTCGCCTCTGATTCGTTCGTTAATGAACCTTCATTAACAGCTACAGCCTCAGAGAAGTTCTGATGCTGTGAAGTTCGACACTTAACAACCTTATAAATCTCATTAAAAAACCTAATTAAAAACGATCTCCTAAGACAGGAATTGATCTTACTGCTCGGGCTGCAGTGTGAGCAACATGACACGTGCTCGGTGCAGAAGTGTCAAGCCAGGAGGTCTTTGCTCAGTTTGCCCCTGGTAGGACGCGCTCCGTTTCCACCACTCCTGTGCGCTGGTTTGGGAGGTGCTGAGGGGTTTGGAGCTGCCCGAAGCGCTGCTCGGGAGGCAGAGCCGTACCTCTGCAGCTTGGCTTCGGCTTCCTGGTTGTGAACGCGTTGAACCTGTGCGTTAATGGAACGTGGAGAGCTTTCTCTGGTACGCCAGGCCCAAAGACCTTTTAATTATTAACTCTGGAATAGGTGTTCTTTTTCTACTGAAGCAATTAAGTGTCTGTGATAAGAGTACAGCTTTCACCTTTTGTGTGTAGGTATGTAATTAACCTTAATACGAACAGCCCTTGTGACAATGGGGTTGCTCTTTGGGCAAAGGTACTTCACTGATCACCACCTCACTTTCAGGGCTGGGCTTTTTCTCTTTATTTGGGTTGAGTGTTTGTAGTGCCCACAGCAGTTTCGGGCAGTTCAACACGACATTGCCAGCGTTAGTCCCGCAGAGACCTGGCTGAAATGGGGCCATGGATCCATCAGCTGAGTCACCCTCGCGGTGTCACCCTGCACTGCTGGGCCCTCGCCCGATGTCCTGGGGTGCACGGGGCTGGGCTCTGCGCCCAGCGCTGCCCCTTCCATCACCCATGGCCGCTGCCACCGGTGACGTGATCGGCCGCTCTGGGCTGCTGCCGTCCTTGTCCCCTCCACCGTAGGGACTGCGCTCCCAAACCCTGCATCCGCACCTCTCACAGGTGCTGTTTGGAAAACAAAATACAACACCCAAACCTACTCTTTCCGTGGGTGATGCCACGCTGAGTACGAGGTCAACACAAGACCTGATCGTACTTTCTCCTCTCTTAGATTTCTGGTACCCAAGAAGTGGGGCGCAAGGAGTAAATCTCTTTACTCTGTGAGCATCCTTATCTGATCAGCACTGGCGTGCTCTGCTGAGGAACCAGGAAACTGCTCGCTATCTCCTTTCTTATCAGCAGCACAGGGTAACGCAGGGAGCTGGGTTGGTCCCAGGACCCTTAGAGGCAAGGTCTGCATCTCAGTTTTGGGCTGTGTCAGCGGCTGCCGATTGCCGCTGGGTGACGAGGACAACCCTTGGTGTGGCTGTGCAGATCGCAGCCGCCCTCGAAGAGGGGACGCGAGCGTCTTGGCTGTGGCGCTGGTGTGCGCTCCCGGTCTGAAGGAGCGCGGTGCAGCGGTGGCATGGGCTGAGCGTGTACAGGAGCCGTGCTGGTACTGCTCTGAGGGAGGCTGCCGCGCTGGCACACAACTCTGTGACTGCCCAGCAGCAGAGCTGGGTCAGGTGTGGTGGCAAAACCCTGTGCTGTTGCCTTTGGTACCGGAATAGGGCTCCCCTTGCCTGTTTCCCGTCGAGAGCATTGGTCTATCTGGGTTTTAGATGCCTGAGTTACTCCTGTACCCCAAAGTTCTGTCTCATCAGGAGTCTGTAGTGTCTGTTGGTATAGATCTTGTCAGATAGGGGATCTGCTTTAAAGGGAAACTCGGAAAAGGTTATGGTTGTACCCTCTCCCTCTCCCCACACCACAAACAGCCCGAGATTGTGAGGCTTTCCCTGCTGACACCCAGGGCACTCCTGATGCAGCAGTGGCCATCGGCTCTGTGAGGCGCTGGGTTTTCACCTGGTTCAAGGACGTCGTCATCCTCTGGCCACGGCTGCAGAGCACAGCAGAGGCTTTTCCTGGGACAGGAGCAGGAGGTAGGGAACTCTTAGTCCTTAGGGCAAAGGTTTTCCTGCTGCTTGGTCTGTGTTGTCCAGGAGGGAGGGGAGAGCAAGGGATTGGAGCAGACAGCCCTCCTCCTCTCCTTGCATGGCTTGCTCCATTAAGTCATTGCCATCCGGGCGGCAGTGCCCTTGCTGAGGGTTGTTGTGCGCTGGCGTGCAGAGGCAGCGGGCACAGGAACGGGAATGGTTCCGAGTCCTGCGCCTGCCCCGGGCTGGGAACGGTAGGGCTGTGTGGGGGAAACGCTGCTGACCCGGACACTGCTGGTGCCTCGTGGTGACGGTGAATCACGGCTGTAACGCTGCTGACCCGGACACTGCTGGTGCCTCGTGGTTTGTGTGGCAGAGGCAGCGCTGGGCTGGGTGCGCTGGGACAAACTGGTGTGAGCTGGGAGTCGAGCAGCGGGGATCGTCCCGATGCGGTAGGTGCAGAGCGGGGTGTCTGTGTCTCCTCTGGTTTTGGCTGGGTTGTTGGCTCCCCAGTACACCCAGTTTGACAACCAGCGGGTGGCTGTGGGACCAGTGCCTGCAGCCCGGCTCCTGCCCCTGCTCCAGTGCTCTCTGAGCGCGTGTGCACCACATCCCTGCCCTCTCTGGAGCACACACTGCCTGTCTGCCCGGAGCCATGCTGTAGTTCTTCCCAGGGGGTTTCAGAGCGGCTGCATTGCTGTGTGTGTTTCTTTTGCCCGTTCCTGTGGATCAAGGTGATCTCCCCGCTGTCCCAGTGAGGGGTTCTCCCCTCCCGTGGAGCTGTGCTGCCCACAGCCCGTGGGGTTTTGCTGTGCCTCTGCTCTGAGAAAGAGCTGCCACAGGACGGGGAACCCACACCAAACGTGGCAGCGTGGGCTGCTCGTGGGGAAAGCCCCCTCAGAGGAGGAGGACATGCAGGAACTCAGGGGCACGCTGGAGCTCATGTGAGAGCGTGAGAAGCAGCGGCAGCGAACGTCTCATGCCCGTATTTAGGAAGCGCTTCGTGACAGGAGGTGTTCACAACGTCCCCTCTCAAGGTTGCACTTGCTCACATGGGAGGAATGCCTTTCGCTGCGTTATGGCTGGGGAGGGCGCAGGAAGGGCACCGGGGTGACGTGTGTGTGTGTGTGTGTGTGTGTGTGTGTGTGTGTGTGCGGCTGCGGTCGGGGTGCAGGGCTGTGTCCTTGCTGGGTCAGGTCACATCACGCGTGCTGCGTTCAGCTCTGTCACCTCTGCGGCAGCGGTGGCAGCGCAGACGCGCTCCTTCCCAGGTGTAACTTCAATCCCAGTAATCGGCTTCCATGGTCACAGAGCAAACCAGAGCCAGATTACAAACCCAGACGCCCCGACCTGCGGCCCAAGCTCTGCTGATGCTCCCTCTGGGTCCTCTGTCCCAGGACTTGTCCCTTCTTCCTTTTCCTCCTCCCACACACTCCTGCGCTTCTCAAGCTGCTCTCTCTGTTGCTGTAGGTCTTCTTGAGCTGAAAGGATGAAAATTGGCGATTGGAAAGTCACCGTCACTGCCCTAAGCTGCATCCTAACACTTGGAGTCCCCGTTGATGCCTTTGGGCGTATGAGCCCGCGAGAACACCCACCGTCCCCGTCCATGATTTAGACAGCAGCTTGGAGCATGCATCACTGTAAGGTTCACATGGTTTCAGCGCTGTCTCTGTCCCAGTCGGTGCAGAGGGGCTCACTGCACAACAGAGCCGCCTTTCTGGGATGGTCCTGAACCCCAGATCCCCTCCCACCCCGAGGGTCTCTTCCTCTCCCCCCTGTGCGGGGCAGTCCCTGGGCCTGCTCATGGCACACCAGTCCCTGCCCTCCTCACCAGCACCAGCTTCCCCTCGCGCAGCCGGCCTCTGGCGTCTGACCTCCGTCCCTTTCGCTGGCAGAGCGGGATGGTCGGCCACCGGAGCTGCAATGTCGTCCCTGACGACCTCCAGTGAGGGACACGGCCCCGTGCCCAGGTTCGTGGTCGGTTCCCGGGATGATGAGACAGACTTTCTGGGATCAAACATGAAGATGGACGAAACCGATTTCTTTGAAGACGACGAAGAGGAGGAGTCGGTAAGGAGGTGCTGGAGCATCTGTGCAGAACCCCTGGGTCTTGGCCAGGGCGTGCGGGTGCTGCTGAGGCCGCAGCGGTTGGGACTTCAGGGGACGTGGGGGTGTCAGTGCGGAGCTGTCTATCGGTGGTGAAGGATTTGGGAACCCTCTCACTTCCCAGGTGTTTTTGCTGGGGAGCCTTGGCAGTGCAGGGCAGCGATGACTCCTAAAGCCTCAGCCCACAGTTTGACACCGCAGTTTGTTCTGGGTAACCCGCAGTCCCGCGGGTGTCACTTCAGGTGATCGCACTGCACTTAATCTTGCTCGGGACAGAATTAATCTCAGGAAACGTCCAGTCTGGGTTTCCAGGTGGTTACAGAACTTCCACCACAGACCGTAGCCCGTTCCTGTGTTACGGTTAGCAGTGCTTTGCGAACGCTCACCTTCTCTCTTGACTCACTCAAATTAACTTTGTCCCGCTGGATCTTATTGTACCCTTGTCAGATGCATGGAGAAGCAGTCGGTGCCATTTCTGTTCTCATAGCTACGTAATCACCCTTCATTTTCTCTCAGATAAGACAAACAGGCTGAGCTCCTGGACTGCTTTGCTATTAAACACTTGCAGCTCTTCTCTGAGCTCAAGTCCCCTGCTGCCTGGGTGAGTTATGGGACAGAGAACAAGATGTGGGACCCCAGTCCCGGCTGCTTGTTCAGGTGCCAGATGTTCATTTCTGGCCTTAGCAGCAGTGCCCAGTGAAAGGAGGAGGTTTGCACTACCTGGCAAAGGAGCGCTGTTTGGGGCTGCTCCTTACTGGTGTCTCCCACTGCACTCCAGTGGGAGCTGGAAGCGTGTGTGGGGTTCAGTCTAGCAAGAGCTGTGGGGAAAATGCCTTGTTGGTTCCACATGGCTGTGTTCCTGCCTGTTATAATTTAAACTCGGTGAGGTAGCTGAGCCTGTACTAAACCGATCTCTGTTTTCCCTTAGCCACCCGAGCGGCAGATTGTGGTGGGGATCTGTGCCATGACCAAAAAGTCCAAGTCCAAGCCCATGACGCAGATTCTGGAGCGCCTGTGCAAGTTCGAGTACATCACAGTGGTGATCATGGGGGAGGACGTTATTCTGAACGAGCCGGTGGAGAACTGGCCCTCCTGCGACTGCCTGATCTCGTTCCACTCCAAAGGTGAAATCCTGCGGCAGCCCCCGCCTACCTGGGGCCTGGGCAAGGCGGCTGCTGCTCACTTCCCCCTCTCCGTGTGTTTCAGGATTCCCCCTGGATAAAGCGGTAGCTTATGCCAAGCTGTGCAAGCCATTTCTGATTAATGACCTCGATATGCAGTATTACATCCAGGACAGGTCGGTGTCTGTCAGCCACCAAAGTCCCTTCCCTCTCCCTTCGTCTGGTTCCTCTCAGCGCGCTGGGCAAACTTTGTCTTCCTGGCCACAGGCGAGTGGGATGGGGAGGAGGGGGACCTCAGCAGTGGCTTTTAGGGGTTGTTTCTGCAAAACCTGTAGGGGAATGGATCTGGGGGTAAGTTGTTGTGTTCTGTTTCCTGGTGCAGATGTCCTGTAAGGAATGGGTAGATGAAGTGGGAAGTAGAAGAGGTCTCACAGAACGAGACTGCCACGACTGAGACAAACGGAGCAGCCCACGAGTGGTAGAGCCAGGCAGGGGGATGGGGTTCTGGGCACAAACTGGGAGCAAGGCCGGGTCATATTTGGAGGAGAGGATGTTGGTCAGACACTGCGAGGCTTCTCGGTCTCTTGGCAGAGGCCCCCAGCAGTCAGCACCGCACTGCACACAGCCGGGCTGCCCTGGCTGGGCATGGGAGGGCTCACACCGGATCCCAGCCCTTCTGCCACATCTCTGGGCTGTGTGTGGTGATCCCATGGGTGCCCCAAGGTGTGGCTCCAGTGACCACGTTGCGTTTCCCCGCTGACACGGTGAAGAGAGGCCGTGCTGCATCTGCCTGGCTGGCGCTGGCAGCTGAGCGTGGCAGGGCAGGGCTGTGCGGGGTGAGTTGCTGTGGGCTGGACACGTGCTGGTAGATGAACATCCATGTTTTGGCCACGTGGAGATTCGCTCTGGGGCCTCTCTGTCTGGAGCAGGACTGAGACATGCCCCATAGCCTGTAGGTCTTATCTGGACACCATGTGCTGAGCAGTATTTGCACTCTGTCGTGAGGCTTTGTTGTGTCCATTTGACTCTGTTCTTCATCAGTGGCAGTGAAGCCTTTCCCTTGGTGAGTACCGAGCACCTTCCAGGCTCTGCTGCTGGTTCCCACTGTTCGTGTCCTCCACAGGCGTGAAGTGTACCGGATCCTTCAAGAAGAGGGAATAGACTTGCCCCGCTACGCCGTGCTCAACCGAGACCCCGACAGACCAGAAGGTCAGTTCCAGGCTCTGCTGGAAGCTGTGTTCACATACTGCGCTATTTAGGACATTCTGCATGGAGCAGGCACTGATAACCAGCTTGAAGAGACCTGACTCACGGGTCTGCTGTTTCTGTGGACAGAGGTCCCAAAAGCAGACCTGCCTGGCCAGGACCACAGGGTTCGGCTCCGCCAGGGCTGTCCCACCCTTTCCTGATGGCAGCTGCCGTGTTTTGTCTGCAGAGTGCAACTTGGTGGAGGGAGAGGACCACGTGGAGGTGAACGGGGCTGTTTTCCCCAAGCCGTTTGTAGAGAAGCCAGTCAGCGCTGAAGACCACAACGTGTACATTTACTACCCGACGTCAGCAGGTGGGGGCAGCCAGCGGCTCTTTCGGAAGGTGAGGAGGGGGACTGGGAGTTGCAGAAGGGTGGATTTCAGTGGTGGTGCTGACTTTGCCTTCCCCATCCCCTGCTTGCCTGTGTCTTGCCTAGCAGTCGTGCAGAACTGTGTCCCTCATTGAATCCATGCTGCTTTTTCCAGATCGTTTCCTCAGTTATCAAGATGGTTTTTTTCAAATTTGTATTCATGTCTTCTAGCATTGTTGCTGCCCTTCTCAGCTTAGTGTAGCTTGCAGATGTGATAATTGCAGTATTTATTCCTAGATTCCACAGGGAATCTGCCCTGACTTCCTCTGCTTTGCCAATGAACAGTTAATAGCTCTGATAGATCCTTTTTCCAATCAGTTACACATCTGCCATTAATAATCTTTAAGTGATTGTTTCCTTAGCTAATGTACAGGCATTCCACTTGAGGTTGAATCCAAAGCCTTACTAAAAATGAAACGTCATCCTCTGTCCATAAGATCAGCCGGCTGTCCTAGAAGGAAATTAAATTGGTCTGATTGTCACCTGTCACCATTTATTTCCATCTGTATATTAGCGAGGCTCCTTACTTTCTAGGGCTTTATCCGCTGTTTTTTGTTCCGTATGCTTGCGGTGACTGGAGTCAACCTAATGGCCTAGAATAAGTTTTTTCCTCTTTAAAGCCTGGAAAAGGACGTACCCACTGTCTGTTGTGGAGTCTCTGTTGTCCTCTGTAAATGAGTGCTGTAATAGCTGGGGCTTTGGAGAGGCGTTACACTAATTCCCTGCATATGGGATGAAACTTGTTGTTCTTCCGTGTGCGAAAAGGAGCCCGTGCTCCTCTCTGAGGTGTTTTTCCCGTGGTTTAGATCGGCAGCCGGAGCAGCGTGTACTCCCCGGAGAGCAGTGTAAGGAAGACGGGCTCCTACATTTATGAGGAGTTCATGCCCACAGATGGCACCGATGTGAAGGTAGGGGAGAGCCTGGGGTGGCTCCTTCCTTCTGCAGACCCGGGGTGGGTGGAGGCTGCACAGTCCGACCCAGTCCTGGTGGGGCTCTGGAGGGGCTGTGAGCGCAGCCGGGGTCCCACAGCGGGATCCCTGCAGGTCGTAACAGCAGGAGTGTGTGTGACCGTCTGAGGTCTGTGTGTGCAGTGGAAGTGCCCTCTGGAGCCTGCAGTCAGGCTGTGTCCCCGTGTCTCCCAGGTGTACACTGTCGGGCCCGACTATGCCCATGCAGAGGCGCGCAAATCCCCTGCTCTGGACGGGAAGGTTGAACGGGACAGCGAAGGGAAGGAGATCCGTTACCCGGTCATGCTGACCGCCATGGAGAAACTCGTTGCCCGGAAAGTCTGTGTAGCCTTTAAGGTCTGTATTTTCTCTCCTATGCAAGAAGGATACTCCTCAAATCTCAGTCAGTGTTAAAGCTCGGCTCTGCTGTGCCTCTGGCCTGGCAATCTCCCGTGCCTGGTGCTGGTTCCCGTCTTGGCTTTGTGCAGCGGGTCCTGGCCATGGCGGTTGCTGGTCAGAAGTGACTGGGAAGGCAGGAGGGCTGCAGCGAACGCCCTCTGTGTGACATCCTGTGTACATTGAGCATTTAATACCAGAGTGTGAGCGTGCTGCTGTCCGTCTGACCACACTCGTCCCACACTCACTGTTTCCTAGCTGTGTCTGTGGGGAAAGCTTGCTCTTCTTCCTCTGTTTTTTTTGTACTGTTTTTGGCATGGCTTTGGTGCAGGTTGGTGTCTGTTTTACAGATCAGTGCAGTGAGTCTGGGTATGTGAGTTATGAGTTACGTGAATGTTCAGTGGTGGCAGCAGGAGCAGCGCTTGGCTGCTGGTTCCTGCCCCTGCTGTGATCCGCAGCCCCTGCAGTTGAGGATGCAGCCAAGGGCTGGTTCTGCCTCGCAGCCCTTCCCATGTACTGATGGGTGTCTGTGCCTGCACCACTTACTGTCGGTCTGGTTCAAAACCATTTGATTTAGAGGCAAGAGCAGGAGAAGCAGGGCTGCTCTGTCTGAGCCCTTAGAGCTCTGGGAGGTGGGGGTGGCTGACAGCTGAATTTGGGGCTCATGGGCCGAGCCGTTGATAGGGCTGTGGGGGTGTAAAGGTTCCTCTCAAGGGCCCCTTAGCTCCAGCACAGCTGAATCCTGTGTCCTCTGCTTCCCCGTGCAGCAAACGGTCTGTGGGTTCGACCTCCTGCGGGCAAATGGCCACTCGTTTGTTTGTGATGTGAACGGCTTCAGTTTTGTGAAGAACTCCATGAAGTATTACGATGACTGTGCCAAAATCCTCGGGTATGTGACAGTCGCGTTTGGACAGCGGGTGAGGTAACTCAGGGCGCAGTAGAGTGGGTGTGAAGTCCTGGTCAGTGGCTCTCTGGGGACACGTTCAGAAGGTGAAAGCGTGGCTCTGGCAGGAATGGGTTAATTACTTTTAGCCTCTGGAGCTGCGTTGGCATTAGCTTTGGCATTAGCATGAGCTTTGGCATTCACTGTCTGTGTCTGCAGCCACGTGTATCTTAGGGGAATTGCCACTGGATGCTAAGCCCAGCTGCAGTGTTGGTGAAGTGAGGGAAATTGGGGTCCCTCTGGGGTGCCCATGGTGTGGTAGATGTCTCTGCAGGAAAAGTGAGGAGAAATTCTGTGACTTGTCTTCAAACCTTGCAGCTGCACCACTGAGGAGGAGGTGGAGAGCCATGGGAATGGAATTTCTTGTGAGTTTTGCGTTCTCATTTCTTCCAGAAATATAATCATGCGGGAATTGGCTCCGCAGTTTCATATTCCCTGGTCCATCCCCACAGAGGCAGAAGACATTCCCATCGTCCCCACAACGTCGGGCACCATGTGAGTACCTGCCATCTTCCCAAAAGATTGGCTGCCCGAGGGACAAAGCACAGACCCTGCCCAAGGGACAGGCATCACGCAGCAGCGTGGTGTTTTGGCATGGCAGAAGTCTCTTTGTGCTCCTCAGCACACTTGTGCACTGATACTGTGGTATCTGAAAAAGCAGATGCGTGCAGCCCCTCTGAAATTACCCAGCCTGGCTGCTGGTTCCTGGTTGCCACGGGGTCTTTCTGTGTATGGCCCTCACTGGTCGCTGGCAGACAGGAACCCCGGTGTAAAACCATTCTCCTGAACCCAGCTGTTTTTTCCTGGGTCTTTCTGAGTGGACCTGTGAGCATTACACAAGTTGGGCACAAAAACGAGCTTGGCACAATTCAAAATGCTGTTCCTGTAGATTCTGTCGCACCCAGCCTGGTCCTTTCTGCTGCGGATGTGGTTCTGCCTGTCACATTATGGTCCTGTGGTGCTTCTCCCTGGGAGGAACCCAGACCACCTGGTAGTGTCTGCAGGGCTTTGACAGCCTCGGCTCTTGTGTCTGGTTTAGTCGGGGAGTTCTGCCCCTGATGAGGAAAGCGGCTGTCAGAAGGATGGAGCTGAAAGGACAATGGGAAACTGCTTTCTGGTGGTGATTCACATCTGTGAGGTGTGTCTGGTGTTTCCCCAGGATGGAGCTGCGCTGTGTCATTGCAGTCATCCGCCACGGAGATCGCACCCCAAAGCAGAAGATGAAGATGGAGGTTAAGCATCCCCGGTAGGAGCCAAGGCACCACGATGCTGTGCTGCTGGGAAGCGAGGGGCTGTTTTCTGAGCCAAGGGGGGAGCAGAGGGGCTGAGTGTGTGGGAGGCAGCGCTTTTGCCTGGCTCCACTCAAGCAAATCTTCCTGCCCCGTTGAGGGAGCCCCTTTCCCCATAAGGATCCTGGCACCATCTGTGTGAACCCTGTAGAAAGAGTGAAGCTCTGCGAGGCGCTGCAAAGGGAAGTGCCCCACTAAATGGGAGGCTCATGGCTGCTTCCTCTTTGTACCTGTGGCTGGAAACACTCGTTTTTATCAGAATTTCTGAAGCACAGGAAGGAGCCACTGGGCCTGCTTGTTCTCCATGATGAACAGAGCGTGAATGTGTATTTAGGATGACAGTCCTTGTAGCACTGAAACAGCAGAAAATGCATCAGGGTTCTTTGTTATCTGTTCAGGTTCTTTGAGTTGTTTGAGAAATACGACGGCTACAAGACCGGGAAGCTGAAGCTGAAGAAACCAGAGCAGCTCCAGGTGAGGGGAGTCCTCTGTGGGGTCACTGTGTGGGATGTGCAGGTAACACAGATCCCAGCGTGGGGCAGCTCTGTGGGCGGGTGGAAACCCCCAGAAGGGCAGCAGTCGCTGCACAGACGCTCCCTTTCTCATTCCCACCCCGTGCACACTCACGGTGTCGTGAGAGAGATAGAGGCTGCTCCTGGGTGATGCAAAGACGGGTGGGGATGACCCCATGCAGCTGGGCCCTCTGCTGTGGCTGCTTCTGGTGAAGGATGGGTCCAGGCCAGGGAGGGGGGCGGTTGGAGGCCGCTGCCTGGGGCTGCAGCACCGGTGGGGCTGGAGCACGCTGCGGTGTGAAGGTTGGTCCTGCCCGAGCTGTGTCTGATGCAGACGCGTGTCTGCGGTGTCTGTGTGGACCCGGTGCTGGGTGAAGGCCAGGAGGTCACTGGTGTGGCCTGCGTGGCTGAGGCTGTCTGCTCCCAACAGGAGGTGCTGGACATAGCACGGCAGCTCGTGGTGGACCTGGGCACCCAGAGCGACTGTGAGATCGAGGAGAGGAAAT